AACTTTAGGCCCTCACAAGCCAAACCTGTACAGTGTGTTTGGTTTAAGCAAAAATCCTGCATGGATTGGATCTCAGCAGAGAGTAATTGTTACCATTGCCAGATTTGTTCTAAAACTGGCATATATTAGAAAGCTCTGGAGGAGCAGTGACTCACTGTGGTCGGCAAACATCTGGATGTGCAACACTGTGAACAGTTTTGTAAAGCAGAAATAGAAGTGATTTGTTCCACTCAGAACATTCATAGATGAGTTTGGACTTTTAAGCATGAACGTCTTCCTTTTATTTATGTATATTTCTCCATTGTTTTACAGCTTGTCTTTTTGCCTGAAGCACCCATGTGTTTGGTTGACACATTTCAGAGTTTCTTTCCTGATTTGACATGATAAATGACTCAGGTTTCTGCTTTCAATTTACTGCTGCCAAGGCAGCACAAAAAAATAAACAGCACACTATTGTCCTGACTTTTTTTGTTTTTTTTTTGCATATTTGACGACTTTTTTTAATGCATCAAGGGAAAATCATATTGTCTATATCTCAGTATACATTTTAACATAACGTTTACTGGTAACACTTTGCAATAAAGCTTATTAACATGAATGAATGCTTTAGGTGTCATGAAGTAACAATGAAAAACATACTTTTATTCGAAGATTATACTTTTACGCAGTGGATTAGTTTTGTTTTTGATGGTAATGTGCCAGCGAATAAACCTAAATTTGTTTATGTCTGCTGCTGCGCAAATAATTTTACTCCAGACTGCTTTCTGAACATGGGACAATTCAAGGCAGGTTTTGCAAAAAAGTTAAAACTCAAGGATGGATTAGTACCCACTGTTCGTGATCCAGCTGCACCTCCAGAAGAAGTAAGTCTCACACTTTATATTTTTTATGATTATGTGCTAATCGCTTTTCCTCTTCCACAGAAGAGAGGAGTGAGGTGAGCAGAGCTCATTAGCATTTAAAGAAACATGCACTTAAATGGGTTGCTGCGTACAGAGCTGTTTCTGACAAGATAAAAAGGGTGTTGTTTTACACGACCACTGAGGAATTTTAATCAAAGTATGTTGCAGACAGCAGCTCAGAGTCCGCTCCAGCCCCAGAGCTCAGCCCTGAACTAACTCAAACTGAGGGCTTATATACATAGAAAACTAAGGACTCTGATCAGACAGAAGCCATAGAAACAACCAGGCAAGGAACGAAGGAGAGTAGAACCAACCAATTACCAACTAGAAAACTGATAACAAGACCAAAACAGAGCACAAGACAAGAAAACCGACAAAAACTGATTCAAACAAGAACAAACAAACTCAGAATGTGACAGCTGGAGGGTTTCTATCTTGACGTTCACCCCTCTTTTTGTCTGAAAACTCTGTCATGGGGTACTCTGCATGTTCCTATACGCACACAGACTCATGCTGCAGGAATGTGCAAAGAGTGATTGGCAAATGACCCAGTGAGCAAGATAAAACAGAAGCTGATCACTCCTTCACATTGCAGTTTATATAATACAATGCTTTTCATATATTTGTATGTATGTCTGATCTGTGATCTGAGCTGTGATTTAATAAAGCTTCCTAATAAAACCAGGGAAACCAGTTATAAAGTTGTTTTTATTTTTTGAATACAGTTTGTTATTATATTCCCTGTGACTTTCTGATTCGTCAGCACCTTTTATAATAATAATAATAAAGGCAGGCTTTAAAACTGGAAGTTATTGTCTCTGACCTCAGAGGACGACAGTTAACACCATTCATGCTGTTTGCAATCTTTTTAAAGACGTGAGAAAACAGCTTTCATTCAGTTGATGCACCTTTTTTATTGTCTGGCATATCACTGACATTAAAAAGTTCTGCTTTTTTATTTTTAATAATGTGATATTTTTTTTTAGAATTTGTAATTGATGCGTTTGCTATTGCAAGGGGATTTATGGTTCTTTTTGTTGCAGTTAGCTGTCTGCTGATAAAACTGGTAACTTGCTACTGATATTTTAATCTTGGAATTTCTTCCCTTATCATGCATATTTTTTTATCTTATCTTTATGTCAATATAAGGTTTCTGAAATGCACACTTGCACAGACTGACACAAAACTAGGCTGTGATCTGTTAAGAGGAGTTACGAGTGATGTTTCAACAGGCCCAGACACATCTCGCAGAAATCAGAACGAATAAAGGCTCTAGTTATTAGAGGCTCAAATTGTGTTCCTGCTCTAGGGGGGTCCAGCCCAAGGGGTTGAAACGTAAACAATGTAAATTCGAACAAATTTGAATTTTTTTTCGGCATACTAAAGCTTATCAAGTAAAAGTTGTCATCAAAGTAGTGACAATTCTCTGAAAGCTTCACTTGAATCTAATCATGCACTGACTAGGACTATTTACAGTGCCTAAAAATACCTTCTAGTATGTTAGAAATGCAATTATTCAGTACAAAGGTAATTATAGTAATTTATGTACATCTACGATAATAAAGCAGCATGAACACAAAATGTGGACCTTGTACACAAAGGCATTGGGTTTCATTGTGTGCACGCTCACACACAAAACTCTTTTATACACATGACCTCGGCAAGAAACTGATGCTGCACTGACAGTTTTCTATGTCTTTTTTTGGGGGTGGTCAGAATGTGTGTGGATTTGGGTCAGAATGTCAGTGCTATGTAACAGTTAGGTGCGGCCCAATGCTCTTTACGGATCAGCGGTCTTAGTAAGAGAAGCCTCTGCTGTGGATCTTAGTCCTGGCGAAAAGCTCTCACAAATATTTACTTGCTTGAATAAAGTGCCCCAACCCTCTTAAGTGCATTCTCTTAAAACATAAATCCCTTTAATTATAGATTAAGAATCCAAGTTTGATTGTTTCAATGTTCTGCTAGTGAATTATTTTTCTCCAAAGTTTCTGAATAACACTGGGTGATCAGAACTGCTCTCATGTCACTTGGAAGTAATGTTTTTTATTTATTTTTTGTCATCTGCATATTATTAGTAATCTTCCAAAACCACAAATCTGAGCTAAATATGGCAGGGTTTATTTTTGTTTATCTGAATATTACAAATGTCAGCTGTAGAAGCAGTAGACAACTGCTTTTCTGAAACAGATTTTCTTTTTTTAGTCATTTTTTTGTCTTTATTGACTACTTTATTGAATAACATAACTACACAAACTTATAACATAAACACTCATATACATTCACATACAGACAATCAACAGAAAATAAACATTCTGAGTTATTATTATTTAATAAAAATATTATTACATTTTAGTTAAAATTTTAGTAACTTTGTCCTTTTGTCATTTTATTAGTTTTATATTTTATTTCAGTTTTGTTTTAGTAATTTTAGTACTTCAACTTACATTTTATTTCAGTTAGTTGCCAAGACGACATTTCAAATTTTTTGTTTAGGTTTTCAAAGCTTTCCATCTTGTATTTCTATTTTATTTCAGCTTTATGTCAATTAACAAATATTATTTGTAATATTGTTAGTTTCAGTTTACATAAAAACAGTGGCAGATCTCCATCCTCATTGGAAGAAAGATTGCTAGAGCAGTAATGGAGATTTAACTGTGTTATATTTGAGTGTGAGACTGAAAATAGTGCTTGAACATTAAACGGCGTTTACATCATCAGTTGTTCACAGAGGAGACTATTGTGTACAGTATGTGTTATAGATAGGTGTACACAGAATCAGCAGCATAATTCCACAGAAAGCGCAACAGATTTCTAGAGATTCGGACATCTGTCATTCACAAAGCTCTGCCACTCCTGCATTTATTAAATATTTTATCTAAGTGACGAATGATCTCATCCATTATTTGTGACAGGGACAAACGCTGACTAGACACATGTGACGTGCTCTCATGTCATGGGTGGATGCTTGTTTTATTCAGTAAGCAGTAAATAACAAAATGATACTTTTAAGGAGACGTGTGAGTTACGATGAATGCTCATATTCAGATCATGTGTTTTTATGATACATGATCAAAATTTTGTATGTGACAGGTCAACACCTCATATTATTAGTCACATACATTGGAACCCAGCTCATCTGTCTGAGTCAGGTGAAGACATGTTACTGTAGATCAGCAATTCCTGTTTGGTTTTAGAATGCTGCTTGTTTTACATCCAGAATCTGTGTTAATGGGTCATCCTGTAACATTTGCTTGTTGACTGAAAAGACAGAAAACTGACACTGTGTGTCACGTAAACAGCAAATTAATTTGAAATTCACTGAAATGACCACGCATGGATATCTGTATTTAAAACAAAATCTTGAACTGGATATGAGCTTATTCAGATTAACTGTGAACAGCCGCAGGTGTTTCAGGTTGTTTGTGTTAGCATCCATAGCCCTGAGATCATGGGTTCCCTGACAAACACACATGCCAGGTCATGTATTTCTACTTTTGCCCTGAGGGCTCAAACAGTCAGAGAGGAAACTGAAGTTTTAACCCTTTTTTTTAGCCTAAGCTAAACATATGGGTGCCAGTAACAACCTGAAGGAAGATTTAATAAAATATTCCTGGAAAGTCTAAACCTAAAATAGTTTGTCAAATACTAGCAGGATGAAGCAGGGCTGTTGGATTGTATTAAGAAACCAGAATATCATTAGATATTTATTGCATGCGACACCCAAACAGTTTAATTCATGTGAACTCTTTCAATGTGATATGTCAAACGTGAACACTGGATTGTGGTCAGAACCACCCAGCTGATCAGACACGCTGCAGGCAGAAGATCTGCGAGGCCCTTGCTTCAGAACCCGTCAAAGAACATTTTTGTCGTTTCACCTGAATAGCATTCAAGTTTTGTTTATGCTGTAAAGTGTCTTTATGAAGTCTGGAAAGTCATTTGGATTGAACTTTAATTTATTCAAATGCTGTATGTTCTCTAGAAAAAGGATGCATACACATTTCTGCACCTCCCTTGTATTTCTAACAGTGAAATAAAAAAACATTTAATCTTTAATCATTAATCATTTGATCTTTATTTGCATAATGGGACACAGAAATGTCGTAGATTGACTTATGATGATTCCCAAAGCTTTTTTTCTGTGCCGGTGAGGTGAGCCATATCCCACACAAGATTCATTCTGCGAGTGAAGACAAACACTAGTGACTACACTCTTAAAAATAAAGGTGCTTCACGATGCCATAGAAAAACCTTTTTGTCTAAATGGTTCCATAAAGAACCTTTAACATCTGAAGAACCTTTCTGTTTCACAGAAGGTTCTTTGTGGCGAAAGAAGGTTCTTCAGATTATAAAAAGGTAAGAAAGAGATGGTTCTTTAAAGAACCTTTGACTGAATAGTTCTTTGTGGAACCAAAAATGGTTCTTCGTGGAACCAAAAATGGTTCTTCTATGGCATCGCTTGAAGAACCGTTTGAAACACCTTTATTTTAAAGAGTGTAAGGAAGGAAAAAGGCTATAGCCGAAATGTGCAACTAAGCAAAACTAATCTCAGACTGCTCCCTGGTGGTTACATGTTCCAAAAAGTTCAATTGCGCAATAATTAACTTGCACAATACCTTGAGAAGATTCTTTTGACTTTACTGACTGCAGTCACTGAGCTGGCACTGACACTGCACTGAATAGAGAAATCTTTTGTTGGGACAGTTTATATTGGACCTTTATTCCAGGAGGAAGCCCTTTTGACACCAAGATGACAATTAATCAGTTAATTTAATGCATTGTATAAAGACTCCAGTGACTATTCACTATTGTTAGCTATTTTCATGAATTCTTCATATTGCACTTCAATGCTAAAAGACTCGTCCTGTTGTTGTATTATCACAACACCGATTAGAGTGTCGACAAACACATTTATCTGAACCTGAAAACATGGCACCACATTCCTCCAAGAAATATGTGGAATACATTCACTTAATTCATTTTAATATTTATTTTATGTGCTATATTTATATTTCTGCATAACCTGTGTAACATTTAATTAATCTTTAAAATAAAAAATATATTTTATTATTATATTATTAAATTATATTATCTCACAATTTTTTTCTTAATGTAAAGTTAAATCATGCAATTCTGAGTTATTTTCCTGAATTCTCAGTATACATCTTTTAATTCAGTTTTTTGTGTGTGTTCACCACGGAATAAAAAATAAAAAAAGGTAATTGTTACTTTTTATCTCATAATTCTGACCCTTTTTCTTGCAATTGCAAGATTATGACTCACAATTTTGACTTTTCTTCTCAGAATTGTGAGTTTATATTGTGCAATTCTGAAGAAAAAAAGTGATAGAAACTGAGAATTGTGAGAAAAAGTCTGAATTCCCTGTTGGAAAAAACCCCCAGCATATGCTGGTTTAAGCTGGTCCTTAGCTGGTTATGAGCTGGTCCTAAGCAACTAGCTCCTGCTCAGGACCAGCACATGACCAGCTCATAACCATCTAAGGACCAGCTTAAACCAGCTCAAACCAGCAGCCATGCTTCAAAACATACCTTACCAGCATATGCAGTTTTTTTCAACAGGGTTGTGAGATCGCAATTATTTTTAAATTTTTTATCTTGTGGCGGAAACAAGCTTCCCTAAAAATATGACCTGGACATGTTCTTATCTGGTTACATCGAGAGGATTTAGTGGTGAAACTTCTTTTAACTGCATTGAAAAATCCTTTGAAAAGGATCTGTCAAGATAATACAGAAAAACAAAATACATGCACTGATACTTTACTTCTCCATTGCAAACTAGGGCATCTGGGAGTCAGTCCTCTTCCAGACTACAGTAACAACTGGTTATCTGTTCCGCAGGAGTTTTGATCAGGTGAGCATCCAAACAGAAGACTATGTGATGACCGACACCTGCCCCACCCCTGTCCGCTCTCTGTCTAGTTCCACGCTAAGCCTGGATCTCACATCACTTCAAGATCCATCTTCTCCCACACACAAACACAGGAAGGTAGGTGGAAATATTCTGATCTGGGTAGCTCTGGGTGATATGTCTTTCAATCCTTACATAAAATACAGATATTAAAATTCTCTTTACTTTGATATTTCCTGTTAAAGAACACACTGATCTTAATTCCATCAGGGGAAGTCGTGGCCTAATGGTTAGAGAGTCGGACTCATAACCCAAAGGTTGCGAGTTCGAGTCTCCGGTCCGGCAGGAATTGTAGGTGGGGGGAGTGAATGTACAGCGCTCTCTCCCACCTTCAATACCACAACTGAGGTGCCCTTGAGCAAGGCACTGAACCCCCAATTGCTCCCCGGGCGCCGCAGCATAAATGGCTGCCCACTGATCCGGGTGTGTGTTCACGGTGTGTGTTCACTGCTGTGTGTGTGCCAAGTATGGGTAACCATACTTGGCCACATGTCACTTCATTTTAATTACTTTACTAAAGTTTACTGTAAGGAAGAGGAAGTAGGATTTCCAATGCAGAGACTATTTAGCCAGAGAGAATCACGTTACAGCTGTCACAGCTCTCTGTACAACAAGGCAAATACTAACAGATGCTAAATCTGTCTGAAATGTATTCTGTGTTTTATGTGGTCCTTTTTTGAATTCTGCACAAATGATTTTTGTAGAAAAGACTCATAAACCAAGGACACAGTAAATTGTTTCTTGTGCTGGTTTAACTTACTGCGTGAAAATACTCAGTAAAAATCAACTGGTGAAGAAACACCCTAAATGTAGATATACTTTTAATAAAAAGGTTTGATGTTAGTGAAATAATTAGTCATATAAAGTTATTTATATAAAGTTATTTATATTCGGTTTTCCAATGAACTGTTTCAGTTCCATTCATGATGTAAAGGTCTGGTGAACAGCCTTAGTGTTGTTAACTCCTTAATTAGCCTGTAGAGGGCAACACAGGCTGAACAACTGAGTGAACAACAGCTCAAAAAAGTCTACTTACTTACAGTAAATCTGTAATATGTATGGACATCAAATGTTCATGAAAATGTGGATATTAATATGATTTAAACATTATATATAATTATATATTAATATGTATTATGTATTCATATTAATATATAAATTAACCACAAAATACTTTAGAAATTAACAATATAATAGGGATCTGAAATGTACACTTTTCCTTATACAAATATATACATTTTAATTTAAATGTGACTTTTTTGAAGTCATGCATTATCTACCCATAAACAGACATATACTCCCTAGATTTTATGTTTCTATGGTAATTTATGCATAGTCCCCATTTAGTCACGTTGCTCATTATCAATAGATCTAAAACGCTGAGTGTCTCTTTATCAAAGTTTTCCATAACGACAGTTGAAAATATAATTAGACTGTTCAGTTTGACCTTCTGAGATGACAGAAAACTAAAGTCAAAGTCACACAATAGTGAAGTCAAACAAAGTCCTCAATGGCAGTCTTAAGGAGGGCTGGCCTTGCTGTTGTCCATAACAAAGAGAACTTCAAGGTTTTATTCCTCTATGTATAACCATGTGATGCCAAACAAAGAACACACCTTCCCTTTTTAAAAGTTATTAGCAATAACTTATGGTTACTGCTTATGATTTATGTTTCCTGCTATTTAGAAGATGCTTTTCATCCAAAGCAATATATACTTTACTGAATGAATATTCGTTCAGTATTATTCTTCAGTCTCATACTCAAGGCACAGTGCGTATAGAGCAAGACTGTGATCAAACAAACTGTGAAGTTCATCGGTCACACATACTTTTGACTGAACATGCAAATGTAATAATGATACATTAGAAATTAAATTCATTTTTAGGGTTTCAAGCGTGTAGCACTGATTAGGGGTTCAAGTGCGTAGCGCTGAAACCCTATTGTAATTGTTAGAATGGCCAAGGATCAGCATGATTGCACTGACCAAACCGTAAGTCGTAGAGATTTGAAATTTGGAGGGATATAACTTTTAAACGGAATGAGATATCGTCGCCAAACTCAGAACACTCATGTAAGATCTCAATTTGAGGTCACATAAAACAATTTGCGGAGCTTGGCCACTTGGTTGTGATATAAGAGGAAAAAAACAAAAAATTACTATAACTACGCAACCATTTAAAAAAAAAGTGAAGTGACGTGTAGCCAAGTATGGTGACCCATTTGTGCTCTGCATTTAACCCATCCAAGTGCACACACAGTACTGAACATACACCCAGAGCAGTGGGCAGCCATATTGCTGTGGCGCCTGGGGAGCAGTGGGGGGTTCAGTGCCTTGCTCAAGGGTCTCACCTCAGTCATGGTATTAAAGGTGGAAGAGAGTGCTGATTACTCACTTCCCCCTCCAACAATTTCTGCAGGATCTGAGACTCAAACCCACAACCTTCAGGTGTCCGATCAACATGAAAATATGTATGCAGTGTCTTTGTCACAGGAGTCTTTAAGGACATTTGCGTATCTCAAAAAACATGACTGCCATTGGCCAATGAATTTTGAGCACCTATTAGACAAGGTTAATCTCAGTGGGCCTGTTTGACTCATGCAGTGGGGGGTTCAGTGCCTTGCTCAAGGGTCTCACCTCAGTCATAGTATTAAAGGTGGAAGAGAGTGCTGATTACTCACTTCCCCCTCCAACAATTTCTGCAGGATCTGAGACTCAAACCCACAACCTTCAGGTTTCAAGTCCAACTCTCTAACGATTAGGCCACAACATTTGTCCGATCAACATGAAAATATGTATGCAGTGTCTTTGTCACAGGAGTCTTTAAGGACATTTGCGTATCTCAAAAAACATGACTGCCATTGGCCAATGAATTTTGAGCACCTATTAGACAAGGTTAACGGAGGTCAATCGGAACGAAACTCATACCCCTTTTCCATCAGCATGAACCGGGTGCTCAGTGCCGATCCTAGACTTCTGGGGGCCCTACGCAAAACTGTGTCGAATGAATGAAACGCCTTTGTCTGTGTTCACTCCGTCTCGAATCTCACTCGCGGAAAGCACTTGAGAGACAGTGTCTCTTCCGCGGCTCGGTATGCTTTCAACTTCGTTGCATTGCGACTACGTTGCATTGCTATTGATGTTCATTCCGAATCTACATCGGCATCCAAACATGGCGAATTCAACGTGTTCGTGTTTAGCTGCTATTTCAAAAATGGTGGTCAAAAGTTTCTGTTCATCTTGTTGGTCACGGTAACCCCGCCCCCAGCCCCTGACGCAAGCGGTTCTTCTAGATCAGCAATGGTTTGGTGCTACTTATGAACCACTTTTCCTGGTTCGGAGCTGGTGCTTTGGGTGTCGAAAGACAAAAGCTGTGTCTCCATTTAGAAGGCTGGGTCCTCTATAGGTCGCATCCTCTGAAGGATGTGTATACGGAGTATCCTCAACCCAGAATTAAACGAGACGGCCTTCGTAGGACGGGCGGAAAAGGAAACAGGAAGTATCACGTTGCTATGCCAACACATTTATAGCGTCATTGCGCTCTCACGCTTGTTAAATGTACAATACCAGAGGGTTAAACAAATTTATAATTTCTTGCCTTGGTAGCAAAGTACTATTCTCAACATTTAAAAATCACTAAACACTTGTAATCCTGTTTACCACATCTACCAACTGAGGTAATACAACTTAAAAGAAAAACTTGAAAATACTTACATTTAAACACCACATCTTCGCTTGTGTGTAATGTTACATCTGCCGGCGCCTCTATTTTTTTCAAATAAACGACGGTTGTTTATGGCGACGCAAAGAATTGTGGGTTATCTGTAGCAGCGAAGGATACACCTCATGCATCCTCCGAATTCCTGTGAAAGAAGGTCGCATTTGAAGGTCACATTCGGAGTGTCCTACTTGCTTTTCTGAAATGAGACAGCCTCAATGACGTATGCAGCCTTCGAATGTGACCTCCGGAGGACGCAGCCTTCTAAATGAGACACAACTAAAGAACCGTTTTGAAACTAGGCTCTGGCTTCGAACCAGCACTCAAACTGCCTTGGTGGAAAAGGGGTGGGTCTGTTTGACTCAAGGCCCTGAAGGTCTGTGAGAAATTTGAAAGAAATCGACCATTGAGGGGCAATATTGCATTTTTCAAGTGTGTAAATGATTGTATATTGCACGGTTTTGGTTTTTCACACATACACACAATATTCGTATAATCTGATAGACCTCCTCATTCCGAACAACTTTGCCTCATAACCATTAAAAACCATCATATTTCTATGGCAAATTACCTGGATTTTTCAAAAATGCTTTTTTAAATAATTGATTTAGGTGGTTACAGGCTTGCTAAATAATATGTAATGTCTTTTTTCATATGTGCTTAAATGCCATAAAGTGTTTGAACCCAGATAAACGCTGCTTGCAGCTATATTTACTTTTATTTTATTCACTATCAGTTTTAGATTCTGATGATAAGTGAAAGTTGACGAATGCAATACAAAATGTAATAAAATTTAAATCAGTAAAGTAATTAATTTTTATAGGTATTTTTATAATATTAAAACTTAAGATATATTTGTCTTCTAATTATATTCTAATTTATAATCTAATTTGACATTACATAATAAAGTTAATAATAATTATAATAATTATTAATATTAGTTGTAGTTGTTGTATTATTTGGCCTTCTTAATGTCCAGTTGTCTGTGGAGAGAGGCACGCTGGTTAGAGAGGTAGGGTGTGGCGTTTGGTTGGATGTGGTCGATTTTCATACTTTGACTGTGGATGAATAATGTTTAACTTTCAATTGCACAACAGCTCTAAAGGGAGCTCGCTTGCATGTGGCATAACCTGCAATGCTCCTGGACCGGTGCCACCAAAGTAAACAGAACATGATTTCGACTTCAAAAAGTAGTGTGCGACTGAACAGCGATTGAATGACAGACGGTCTGAATATCGATTGTAATCGAGGACCAAGCTGGATTAATACCTGGTCGGCTATGTGCTTCTTCAGTTTTTATTGCTGATAATTTTGGACTGCTTACAATGATTTCTGCGTCCTGATTTCGGTACTTATGAAAAACAAAAAAGAGACAGAGACAAACTCGATCCTTATTTCAAGCTGGATAAAATGGTAAGGAGAAAGCTATTTTGTTTAAAGCCGATAATATGTTTAGGGAAAGTATCTGTGTTTGTTTTCACTGTTTTATGGCGCTTTGCAGAGAGTTTTTGACTGTGTCTCAAAATACAGTGAGCTGCCTAGACAAGCACGTTTTGGAATGCGCGCTCAATTGTTTTCCGAAAGTGCTGTTAATCCGTGCTGAGCTGAATCGGAAGACGCTTATGATGGCCAAAATGCTGTCTAGGTAGGCAGCACTCGGGTTTGAAACACCGCCTTTGTCCTAGTTTGGGTTAGTTACAGTGATCCCGTGAATCACTTCTTTTGAACAGTAACAGTACGTTCAAAATGATTCAATCATTCTTTACGTCATGGCGTGGAAACGTACATTTCTGCTTTTAAACGTGCAGCTGAAGTCACATGCCGGTTTATTTTTGTTTAGTAGGCTATGGGTTTTTTAGATTATGTTTTAATCATGTTGCTTATTGTAATAAAATATGTCCTACATCTCCTTGTCCGCCATGATTTAAATAAGTCATCAACACCCGTGGTCTAGACTCTACACCACAGCAACACTATAGTCGTGGCCTAATGGTTAGAGTCGGACTTGTAACTCGAAGGTTGCGGGTTCGAGTCTCAGGTCCGTCAGGAATTTTCGGTGGGTGGAGTGAATAACCAGCGCTCTCTTCCACCCTCAATATCACGACTGAGGTGAGACCCTTGAACAAGGCACTGTCAACGTGGCGCTGCTATTTATGTTTATATCTGAAATATGGGCCCTTACGTTTAATTACTTAAAATGACTTAAGTTCAACTATCTATTCTGTTTTTCAGTCATGACAATTTATTCAGTTTATTTTAAAATTAATTTTAAATAGAATATTTAGAATTTTACACTGTCACATAAATTATTGAATTATTAAAAGCTACTGTAAATATATTATTTTGTTGGATATAATATTACCAAGGTGTAAGGATTTCAGTTGTACTGTTATGAATCTGAAAGCTATATAATGTCTGATTAGGGTTCTGTGCTGACATGACGCATTCTGTTGAGGTGCTTTCTCTTGTTCTCGGGTGACTGTATGTTCTTGCACATCACTCGTTCTCTGACTGAGTGCTCTCCAAGTCTGGGTTGGTCTCGTTCAGGTTTTGAAATTGTAAAGAGGATGTTTTGGGACTTGTCTCAAATTGTCCCAGACATTTTACATAATTTCTCTAATGACTGTGTGTGACTATCTTATGTTGAATCTTTTAATACTATAACTAAGGTTATGCAGTTTATATTTAATTAAGAGTATAATCATGAATAACTGAACTTGAAGCAATAAGGTATGATAAGCTGTGTGCATTGTGCGGTATAGATAGAGTAATCCAGGAAGTTCTGCTCCCACGTGGGGTAAACAAATATCACTTACCATAGATACTGTTTCTATTGAGGAAATAAAGATAAACAACCAATAATGAAGTTGAATAAAGAAGCAAAAAACATGAGAATCTGACAATTCTGGGAATTCAAATAATGTAGTGACTCTTTACTTTGAATATTTTGAATAAGTAAATGTCAGAAAATGACTCTTGAAATACACTGCACTCTCATTTTTTGTGTATTGCCATCCTGTGTTATTTTACCAATATAATTTATTAGGCTATAATTTCGCCAGTGGAACTAAAACAGTTCATTTCTGACTGAAAACTGCAACCCCTCTCAGCACGGCTACAAGTGCTCAAGTTTAATAACAGTTTTATAATTAAGATATGTATTTATTTAGGTGTTCATACCTGTTTTTCCCTTTTTTGTTGTTCCAGAGTTCTGAGGAGAAGAGTGGAGTTCTAAACCGTATTGGAAGCTTTTTCACTCGGAAGAAAAAAAGCAGAATCGCATCGGATGACAGGGATGAAAATTTGTCACCGGAGGCAAACAGCCCAACCAGGTACTCAAGATCAGAGGAACTGAGATGGACTCAACACAAAGAGATTGACGATTCAGTGTTTGGGCCGGAGAATAGAAGTCCCAGTGTGTGTAGCGTAGCCTCTATTGTTGCAGATGGAGGAGACTTGCCTTTTGCCGACAGCGGCAGTAGTGGACGAGGGAGCGTAAAAGAGGTGGAAGTGTTCAAGGTAAACCGGGTTGAAACCTCCAGTGACAAGAGAACCGAGAATCTGGTGAAGGAGGTGAACAAGAAGCTGAAGGTGTACCTGGAGGAGACAACAGATACAAAAATAAAGAAATGTGCAGATGTCCCTATACACACCCCTGACACGCCAAAGTCCCCCGCGGTCTCAAGCGGGACGGAGAGTAAAAAGACAGTTTTGAAAACCACCATCACAGGTGGTGGGAATTACACCGCATTGATTGGGGTGACTCTGGGATCACAGTCCAGAAACTCATCATCCTCTGATGGTCAGCCTGGAGAACCAACAGGAACAGACATGGGGAAGAAAAACGGCGCCAAACGAAAATCACGCAAACTAAGCAATCAAGAAAGCAATAATGAGCTTCTCGCCCCAATGAACACCACTACCCCTGAGGCAAAGGAGAGGTCAGTGCAATCATCTCCCTCACCTGGTCAAGTACACAGAGCTGTGTGGGCGGAAACTCACCTGACAGAGGAGGAGAGTGAGAGCTCCATTACTGACTCACTTTCTTCTACAGAACCTGCTCTGGCCAGCCCAGCAGAGAGTTATTCTGCCCTCTGTGCAGCTCCTAGCAACACTTCTGCTCCTTCTCGAGCTGCAGAGCCAGCCATCTTCACCTTACATGCTTCAAAAGACAGCATTGAACCACCAGAGGAGGAAACTCGAGACAGCCTCATTCCTAAACACCTGCATGCTGAGAGCAATGAAGAGAAACGCAGTAGCTTGAAACTGTTAAAGAGTGAGAAAGTCTTTGCTAAAAGAGTGTTTGTTGGTTCTCAGTCAAGCCTAGGCGGGGAAGAACAAGCTGAAACGAAGACCCAAAGTGGGACTAACTTGGATATAACGCAGAATGTACAGCAGGTTAAGGTGAAAATGTAAGTACCCTTGTGTTGTGTTTGTGTGTGTGTGTGTGTGTGTTGGGTTACTGAGCAGTGAGGCCTTTGTTCAGACTGTACAGTGCAGATTACCATGTGCAATATGATACTTGGGTTCCCATGATTTTGAGTATGAGATGAACAACGACTTGTAGATCTTTCCATAGATTTAGGTTTTTGTTTGTATGTGTATATATATACAGTATATATATATATATATATATATATATATACATATACAGGGGTGCACATCAGTCAGTGGTACGCAGGTGCGCATGTGTGACCAAAATAAAAATTGTGCTGTGTAAATAAGTTTTGTGACCACCGAATTATGTGACCTTAGTAGGCGCTGTTTAGGATTAGGATTGGGTTTAGGAGTAGGTTGGATTAGCTCAATACAGCGCTATGGTCACATAATTCGGTGGGTCAAAAACAACTAAAAAAAATAAATAAAATAAAATAAAAAATATATATATATTATATATATATATATATATATATATACATATACAGGGGTGCACATCAGTCAGTGGTACGCAGGTGCGCATGTGTGACCAAAATAAAAATTGTGCTGTGTAAATAAGTTTTGTGACCACCGAATTATGTGACCTTAGTAGGCGCTGTTTAGGATTAGGATTGGGTTTAGGAGTAGGTTGGATTAGCTCAATACAGCGCTATGGTCACATAATTCGGTGGGTCACAGAATTCGAGGCAACACCGTCAACCTGCCAAAATAAAAGCTTGCTGATTTTAAGTTTGAAAATGATGAAAATTCATATTATTCATCGTAAATATTAGCATTTTATTTTTAAGTTTACTATAAAATAATTTTATTTTTATTTAGTACTCCCTTTTTATTTTAAAATATAATAGTATTGTCACACTTTATTATTTTGTTTATTATTTTATTTTAAAAAATCCAATAATTTTATTATCACTTATTATTTTTTTATAGTTATATTTACTATGTGCAGTGTGAGGACCAAACCAAATCTCCAGGTGCTCTTTTGAGAAACAGTACACCATTCAAACGTTTGGGGTCAGTATGATTTTTAAAAATGTTTTTGAAAGTCTCTTATGCTCACTAAGGCTGCATTTATTTGATTAAAGAATACAGCAAGAACAGTAACATTTTGAAATGTAAAATATCTGTTATTCTGTTTAAATATATTTTAAAATGCAACTTATTCCTGTGATGACAAAGCTGAATTTTCAGCAGCCATTCAGCAGCCAGGCTTCAGTGTCACATGATCCTTTAGAAATCATTCTAATAGTCTAATTTGGTGCTCAATAAATATATAGCCTATATAATGTTGAAAACATTGCAGCTTAATATTTTTGTGGAAATAAATGAGTGTTGCATAATTAAAAAAAACTGCTGCCTCAATGTAATATGATCTGATTATCTCATTCATCATCATATCATCATGTACAGCTGTGATAAAAGTAAATTACCACCTGTACAGTGAAAATTAGGTGATCACTTTGGTTTCTATAGCAGCTATTGATTGTTATTTGCTTTTGCATGATTCAATCTTTACTTCGCACAAAATTAATTTACCTGAATAATTCTGTGAGGGTTCACCTGTGATTAATCAGCCCTTTTTAGCTGACTAATCTAAAAAGTCTACACAATTAATTAATATGTCATGGTTAAAAGTTTAAGCCATTTAAAGGGTTAGTTCACCCCAAAATGAAAATTCTGTCATTCATTACTCACCCTCATGTCGTTCCAAACCTGTAAGACCTTCGTTCATCTTCTGAACTCAAATTAAGATATTTTTGATGAAATGTGAGAGCTCTCAGACCCTGCATAGACAGCAACGCAACTGTAATATTCCCAAGTCCAGAAACGTAGTAAGGACATCGGTAAAACAGTCCATGTGACATCAGTGGCTCAACTTCAGTTTTGCGAAGATATGGGGATACTTTTTGAGCGCAAAGAAAACAAAAATAACATAATTTATTTAACAATTCTTCTCCCCCGAGTTACGTCTTCTGCCATTTTGGAGAGTACACAAGAGCGTAATCCGTATATATATCTATGGTAATCGACGTAATCAGCATTGTTTACGTTCGGGTGAGAAAGCTCGCACATGAATGTAATCTGCATAATCAGCGTTGTTTACGCTTCAGGGAAAGCGTGCGTATGCATTGTGATACTCTTTAAAATGGCGGAAGACGTAACTCGGGGGAGAAGAATTGTTGAAAAAATTTTTATTTTTGTTTTCTTTGCGCTCAAAACGTATTCCCGTAGCTTCGCAAAACTGAAGTTGAGCCACTGATGTCACATGGACTGTTTTACCGATGTCCTTACTATGTTTCTGGACCTGGGAACATTTCAGTTGCGTTGCTGTCTATGCAGGGTCTGAGAGCTCTCATATTTCATCAAAAATATCTTAATTTGTGTTCCAAAGATGAAAGAAGTTCTTACAGGTTTGGAATGACATGAGGGTGAGTAATTAATGACAGAATTTAAATTTTTGGGGTGAACTAACCCTTTAAGTCACGTGCAATGATGATGTCAAGGTTAGAAATGCGGCCAAACATGTTCATAAGAAGTGATCTGAAATAATTGGAGCTCTTCAACAGGAAATACGCATCTATGGTATGGTTTGCACATGAGATGTCTATGTTTTTTTCACACTTAAAGAATTCAAATTATTTCTCATTAATGTGATGCATGCTGTTGAAAGCACATGAATGCATGGATCTTCCCGTACTTGTCTCTTAACATTGCTGTTGCTTTTATGTGGCGTTCAGTCACCCATAACGCCACCACCAGAGGTGGTGCCAACCCCAGGAGATCGAAAGGACATATCGCTGTCTCATGCTGTCACCTCTGCAAAAGAGGGGCTTGGTGATTTGCCAGATTGTGGCAATGTAAAGGCAGGACCTGGTGATTCAGTACAGAGCCCATCCACACCTCCACCTCTTCCTACTTTCTCAGAAGTCAAGCTGCCTGATGTTTTGGAAAAATACATGAATAAAGGCAAAGAAGCTAACACCATGAGCCAACAAAGGCCTGACACTGGCTCTGTCCCTGCATTGGATTTGAATCTCACTTCCAACAAATTTAATTCAAGCATGGGACTGCAAGGCATATCAGTAGTAACATCTCCATCCAACAGCACTCAGCAGATTCCACTGCCCACAACCAGCAGTCTCTCACCAACATACACAGAGGTAAGAAAGTTGTTATTAATACCAAATGTTTATTGTTTCAAAAAATCTCTTATGAGTAAGAAATAAGCCCAAAAATTCTCCCATTTTTAGTTTAGTTCAGGTAATTGACTAAAGTGAAAGTGACGTGACATGTGGCCAAGTATGGTGACCCATACTAGGAATTAGTGCTCTGCATTTAACCCATCCAAAGTGCACACACACAGCAGTGAACACACACACCGTGAACACACACCCGGAGCAGTGGGCAGCCATTTATGCTGCAGCGCCCAGGGAGCAGTTGGGGGTTCGGTGCCTTGCTCAAGGGCACCTCAGTCGGGGTATTGAAGGTGGGAGAGAGAGCTGTACATTCACTCCCCCCACCTACAATCCCTGCCAGTACGAGACTCGAACCCGTAACCTTTGGGTTACGAGTCCGACTCTCTAACCATTAGGCCATGACTTCCATATTTTAGTTTCAAAGCTTCCATATTACATGTGTAAACTATATTTTGGGGAAATTGTGCTTTACATACTATTGGAACTGAATACTTGTACTTTTATTCAATTACCAGTTTTCAAGAAAAAATAGTAGACCTTCAAAGTGCAGAATACATATTTCATTGTGACATAAATCTATCATCTAATTAAAATGTTTCTGTCTATCTTACTGAGATTAGATCAGATCACATTCCAGTGAATTGTAAACTTCACATTTATTTGAAATAACCAATGAAATCCTTTTCAATATTAAATGAAATTCTACACTGCTGTAGTCATTTGGCTAATCAAATGTAGTCATTCTTGTCAAGGGAAATCTCATGAGCCACCAAAGTACAGTCTTTAAAGATATTTTTTTACTTTTGAGTACTTTAATTACACCTTTCACTTAAGTATGTTTTTGGCTAAATTTTGACACCCATACTGTAACTACATTTCGTACATTTCACACAAACATTATTTATTTATTATTGTAATTGTATTATGTTAGTATAATGAACAGCACATGCTACATACACTAGTGCTTAATGTGTACAAAAGCCTTTATTTATAGTTTTTTCACAGGGATGTAGGGAAGTCTTGCTTCACCTTTGAAACTGCTTAGGTTGTCTGTACCTGCCTGGTCCTTTATCAGTGGAAATGTTGTCACTCTTGGCTTTAAGACACAAGAGGAATGTTAAGCCCTCTAGGCTTCAGTTTGTTTTTATAGGTACCACTGATCTCAGTACCATGGTGAGCTGTGCTGTATTTGAATTAAAGGTCCAGTCAGTCTCTCAAAGTAGTTTTGAAAATGTCATCAATGTTCACGTCAAAAAGTTTATAATGAAAATGATGTTTGAAAATTAACTAAAGTTTTTGATTTCTAGACATCTGGTGTCAGAGGCTTCCACAGACGCCCTGGAAAGGTATTGCAAAACTGAAGATACCGATCTGTACAAAATTGATCATAATAATAATTTGCTATACATTTATTTAGTATACATTTTAGTACAGCTAGTTTATTGTTATTTTCCAGTTCATTATCCACTTTTAAAGTGCTTCAAATAAGAAAGAAAAACAGTTAAACACATTTATGGAGAATGTTTCAATATTATTGCTTGCAGATTGTGATATACCAGCAAGCTCATTTTGGAGGAGTGGCATACGAGGTATTCAGAGACGCAGAGGATGCCACCTCCCTAAACCTCTCTCCACTCATCTCCATAAAGGTCATTAGAGGATGGTAAGAACAATCACTTCCTTCTATTTAGAATGTGACAAATCCTGTGACATTTTAAAGTGCAAGGTTGCTAATGTTAATGTTTGTCTTGTCCTGTTAGTTGGCTGCTGTATGAAAAGCCAGGCTTCCAGGGCCGGTCCATTGCACTGGAGGAGGGGCCAGCAGAGATAGCAAATGAGTGGGCGGAGACAGAGCCCAGTGGGGAAGTGCTGCCAAACGGCCTGCCGCTCCCAACCACACCCATGGTTATTGGCTCCATTAGGCTTGCATTAAGGGTGAGTCAAGTACCTCAGTACTCTGGTCAATCAGTCAAATAAAAAAAAGCATTACCATCGAAACGCTAGCATGCATGCTTTGATCTCTGATAACTTGCTCTAGTATTTTCCTCTCAGGACTATACCACACCAAAAATCGACCTGTTCACAGAGCTGAATGGGATGGGACGAGTGTCTTCATTCTGCGATGACACCATAGAGACCTGTTCATTTGGTATTCCTCAGAGTACTGGGTCCATTAAGATTCACAGTGGAGTGTAAGTGAACTTCTGATCTTACATAAATTCTTACACCCAATAGGAAATCTGATAGTGAAGTGATTTAAAAATTGCCGTTTAACATTTTTCCTTGAAATTGAAATGTTATAAATGTCTTTACTGTCACTTTTGAAAAAAAATCTTACTGATCCCAAATTTATGATCAGTAGTGCATGGGAGCTAAAATGCGATATGAAGGACACAAGCTTCATGTTTGTCCTCACTGCATGATCAGCTGGAAAGTTTTGAGGTTAAAGC